AATATTACATCACATTTTTGACAGATTGACAGTCCAAAGCATACTGAATCAATCCTGTTAAGTTGACATACGAAGATCCACCCTCCTCCATTGCTCTCTTTGCCATCTCTGCTAACTCCTTCGCTCTCCTCCTCCTCCCTCCTGCCTCCTCTGCTTCATCCATCACCGTCTCCACGGCTTTCGCTATCTCCTCTCTCGATACCACCACATCATCCTTCACTTCTCCTGCCCATTCCGTTGGCGTCTTCACCCCAATCGAAACTCCAATCTTTAAAACCTCCAACACCAATTTCTCATTCAAAAATTGCTCGGCGAACATTGGCCATGTCAGCAACGGCAGTCCTGCACAAATACCTTCAAGCGCCGAGTTCCACCCGCAGTGAGTCAAGAACCCTCCCACCGCCGCGTGCGACAAAATCATCGCTTGCGGGGCCCACCCTCTGATTATAAGACACTTGGAGTCGTCGGAGAAGTTCTCAGACAACCAATCTTCTACTTCTGGGTTCTGTATTGATTTGATCACCCAAATGAAAGGTTTGTTCGAAGCTAGCAGTCCCGACCCTAGCTCAATCAATTGAGAAGGACCAAATGAGCCCATGCTACCGAAACAAACATAGACCACAGAATCCGGAGTCATGGAATCGAGCCAATTCTTGCACTTGGTTTCTTCAATCAAAGTTCTGTTGCCCCTCTCAGCCAAATCTTTGCTCCCGTTGTTGATAAATGAAACCGGACCGATCATCCAAGATTTCTTCCCACTTGATTTCTCTAACAAACCCTTGTATCCAACCTCCAACTCATCAAAGCTATTAATCACTATGCCATCAGCTCCCATTTCAGACTCCCTAACTTCTTTCTGAATCTCTTCGTATGGCTGTGATACTTGAAATTGCCTCGGTAGCTGCAGCCTGCTGATCCTGCTGATTTCTATTCGCTGCGGCAAGCCAGGAAGCACGAGGGGCTCCGTATCCGATGGCACGGACTCATGCGTCTTATAAATTGTTAGGTTCTCAATGCACAGAATGGCGAAGCAGTTGAACCCATGAAAGACAAATCTAGGCACGCTGAATTCACGAGCAATATCAGCAGCCCATGGATGACCGAAATCCGAGATTATGCAGTTCGGAGACGGGGTCTTCGGATCGCGAAGATAGTCCATGAGTGGTTGTTTGAGAGCTTTGCATGCGTTGTAGAAGTTGAGAACTAGTGACTTGGATGGAAGGGAATCGATGTTTTCGCAGCCAGCAGGAAGTCCAAATTCGGTGGAAGGGAAGGGGAGCGGGAGGAAGCGGATTGGGAGTTTGGATTCATGGATTCGGTCTGCGGTTGGTTTGATCCGAGTCAGGTTAGCCGGTGTGGTGACTAATGAGACGGTGATCCCTCGGTGAGCGAGGAGGCGAGCGATGTCGATCATGGGGATGATGTGGCCTTGGGCTAGCCATGGGACAAGAACGAAGTGTAGGTTTTGGTGAGGAGAGGAGGCAACAGAATTATCCATATTATTAAGGTTGAGGTTTTGAGATTTTTAGATTTTAGGCATCACTTATCATAGTTTTTATATAGCGGATCGATAATGATTTGGTGACCAATTCAAATACGTTAAGGTTCGATGGAAAGCTGGATTAAATCTTTGACGTAGAGAAAGAAGGTCAAATAGATCTCTTTGTTACGGATGCTTCGTTGGGCTTTCAGTTGCAGGGTCTTTTATATATACTAGTTTTTACACACGTGCAATGCACGTGATTTAATACCATGAGTATTTTTGGTAGTTTATGCTCATTTTTTTCTTTAAACTCTTACATCCCGATTATTTTTTTATGTTTGTTTAAATGGGATACACCCAATTTAAATTTTCATGTTGATATTTGAATTGACAAAAAACAAATATAATTTTAAAATAATTTGAATTTTCATATTATTTTTGACCGATATGAAACTAAGCTTTATTTGAGAAAGTATAGCATTACAAAGTGAAAAATATTAAAATAGTGTTATATAAGGAAGGTGAATATTTAAAACCAATATGACAAAATGATTGATTTAAAGTATGTTAAAACGATGCAAAAGAGAATATGAAGTTTATTCCTAATCATTGATAGACTTCATAAAAAAATATAAATTAAAGATTAATACTAACTCTAGTATACTTTTATATGATAAAAACATCCATATAAGAATATAAAAGTACTGAAAAAAATTCATGAAACTCCCTTCTAAAGATTCCTAATTTCACTCAAAATAATTAAACTATTCTATAAAATATTCATAAAATATTGTTTTTATTTCTTCTATTTTATTTTTTATTGAGTTAAGATCAATCCTTCTTCAGGTTTATCATTTATCATTTCTCAGACAATTCTAAAGTATTGTCTTCATCATCTACATCAATTGTGACATCATGCTAATTTTGTATTTTTATGCTATTATCTTTCCTTGGCTCGTTAATTTTTTATCATCTCATTTAACTTTACAAAGAAGTCAAATGTACTTATGATGTTCAACACAAACTGCTCAAAATATAGACTTTGATTTTTTTTCTATTTCAATGAGAATAAATATTAATTTCATATATATAAAATTCTTTGTGTTCCTAATTTATTACTTAAATAAATTAGAAGCTATCTCTTTATTTTCCTCTAAAATGAATTCTTCTGATGTGCATCCAATAAGAATTTCTGTTATTTCAATAATATTACCTTTGCTCTATCCCTGTCATTTTCCATAAAGATCTAAACTAAATACCTGCATTATTCATTACCAATTTCTCTTAGATTATAATATTAATATTTAATTTGAAGAACACAGTATGGAATTTATGAATACTTACTAATTTTTCTTATGTCTTCCATGGAGATTTTTTCTTTGATTAGGATAAAGTTATTAAATTATTTTTTAATGTAACTCATTCAGTGCTTCATTAATAGATATGTCTTATGTTAATGCCAATTCAAGTGATTCATTGACGTTTTCTGAATTTTAGATTTATTTCCATCACTTTCCCATTTGCAATGGAAATAACTCAATTCTTTTAAAGTTATCTCTAAATATTCTAATAGTTTCTCCATATGTAATTTCTTGTATTCTTTTACCCTATAAATATTATTAACGTCAAAGATTAAAGTTTCTAAATTAAAATCAATTAATGCTAAGGTATAATATTATAGTGTTTTATCATTTCTATGGATTTAAACATCTATCAATTAATGTTACGAATGTATTTTGGCTACCCCAACTTATTACTAAAATTATATGAAATTACTTTAATTTATATAGTGCCGATAATTTTTAATCTATAATATTTTTAAAAATTTTATCCATTAACCGGATGTTTTTAATCAATTCTTATTGTTTTTGTTTACCAGTATCAACTTAGACTATTCTTAGATGCTGAAAATGGATAGTAAATCCCTAAATTAGAAATTTTAATATATATATATATATATATATATATATATATATATATATATATATATATATATATATATATATATATATATATATATATATATATATATATATATATATATATATATATATATATATATATATATATATATATATATATATATAATATATATATATATGAAAAATACCAAACAATTACACTTTTCTTTGCCAAGTTTTAAAATTTTAGCCCATTTTTGTGGTTTTGAACTTTGAGGGTGTGATTTATAATTTTTAAAATTTTGAAAGAGTTTTTTAAAAAATTTACTTTTAAGTTTGGTAGTTGTAAATTCTATGTTTCATGTGTTGGTGGTAATTTTTTAAATGTTAGTATATTTCTTGTAACTCTAAAATTTTGAGGGTGTCTTTTGTAATTATTAAAACTATAGATTAATTTTGAAAAATATTAAATTTCAGCGGTCTACCAATCGACGAATTTGATGTGTGCTAGTTAAAAATTTTGAAAATTTAGAGTTTTTTTTACGATTTTTAAATTTTGAAGTAGTTTTTTAAAAATTTTGAGGTTAATTTTGGCAAATTTTAATTTTTTAGGTGTCTAAGGGTAATATCTTGAATTCATCTTATTTTATTTACAAATTTTAGAATTTTAGGGTGGCTTTTTATAATTTGAACTTTTGAATGTGTTTCTATAATTTTTGAGATATTGAGGGTGTTAATTAAAAAATTTAAATTTAAATGTCAAAAATTTTAGGTGTATCATGGTAATCTCTTGAATTCATCTGTGTTGTTTGTAAGTTTTAAAATTTTAGAATTTTAATGTGCTTGTCTGTAATTTAAACTTTTGAGGGTGTTTCTATAATTTTTGAGACATTGAGGTGTTAACTGTAAAATTTAAATTTTTTGCAAACTGATGTTAATTTTTTAATTTTATGTTTTTTATTTTAAGTTTTGAGACATTTGGATGAGTTTTATAATTTTGAAGTTTTTAGGGTCTTTTCTGCAATTTTAAAACTTTTTATGGTTTTTTGCAATACTTCATGTATTATAATATGTTATCTATTTGTAATTTCTTTATCTTAACAAACTAATATCATTTTTATGTTTTATATATTTTATTAATATTAGTTTTTTTTAAATTGTTAAGCTAAACATGGTTCACATAGGATTAGGATAAGATATGATTATGATTAGGATAGATTAAGATATAAATAAAATATTCAAAATAGTGAAGGGTAATATTGACCATTGAAAATTAGAATTTGATTATAGATAAGGTAGTTCAAACTATAAAGGGGTATATTTGTCTAAAAAAGATTTTCCGAACTCGTGCTTTTAAAGAGATATATATATATATATATGAATATTGTCAAGTTGTTTCTTTTAGTGGACATCGGTGATTTTGTCCTGTATCTTGTAGAAACCTTTTCCTTTAAAAGACTTTAAAAGTAGGTTTACTATTCTCCCAAGTTTTTGATGGACTTGGAAATGTCTGATTGTTTGGACTTCTAATGGGGCAAAATCTCCTTTAAGTTTGACTGATTTTGCGATAAAGCCCCCTAAACACTGTGAATTTCACTTGGGGGAGGGGGTGTTAGTCACCTAGAACTTTTTAAGTTGAACTAGGATAATTGGTAAAGTGGGATAATTTTTTAACACTGTGATAATTTAGTGGAACAATGATGGATAGTTCTTGAAGTTGAATAATTTGGTAGGATAATTTGGTGGGATAATTGTGGATAATATTATGAAGGGGATAATTTGATAGAATAATTTGGTGGGGGTAACAGTGGGTATAAATTATTATTGTTAATAATTGTATATTAAAAATAATATAAGATTGATAAGCAATTGATTAGATTGTATATTAAAAATAATATAAGATTGATAAGCAATTGATTAGTCTAGTAATAACTATAAAATATAATACAATAAAGCATCATATAATATAAGATTGATAAGCAATTGATTAGTCTAGTAATAACTATAAAATATAATACAATAAAGCATCATTATTCATCTCAAATAATAAAATATTTTACAACTAAATAAAAAACTAAATTCCTAGAGTGACTCGACTTGCATCATCCCACATGACCTCTGCCATAGAATTTCTCCAAGCTCCCACAGCTGCTCGTTGAGTCTGTTGAGTCTGTTGAGTCTGTAACTTATCTTCTTCATCGGAGTCATCATCTGCATCAACAACATTTCGTGGAGCTTCTAGTGGAAGATCATAAATGTTGAAGTTATCATTTGTATTCTCCAATCTTAAAAAGTTATGCAATCCTACGCATGCAACGAACATCTTTATTTGTGTGGCATACGGAAAACCTGGAGGTTGGCTCTTGAAAATAGTGAATCTAGATTTAAAAACTCCAAAGATGCGCACAACACAATTTCTAAGAGACGCATGCCGATGGTTGAAAACTTCTTTTGAATTTCGTGGTCGTTGTCGATTATTTGCAAGGCCGAACTCGGAAAGATGGTACCTTTGACCTCGGTATGGAGCAAGAAATTGTAGCATATTTGGATAGCCGCAGTCAACTAGATAAAATTTATCTGCAAACAAGAATAAAAATATGAATGAGAAAAAATATTATAAAACTAAAAAATATTCTTTAATTGATAGAATACTATGTAAAGATTATTACTCTGTGGAAGTGGAAGTCCATAAGGTCTACTCATTTCATCCTTCAATACTCTTGCATCATTAGCAGAACCCTCCCAACCAAATGACCTACGCCTTCGTTTACCATTATTCAGAGTGGATGGTCCAGAACTAGAAAATGACACATTATCACTGGAAATGGTGGTAGCATGTTGCATATCACAGTAGCATCTCCTACATCCGGAGATTCCATCTCAGCATCAGCACCAAATACGCCATCCCCAACCACTTCTTCTAAGCGTGCTTCACCCAAGCCATCAGGACCTAAACCTATAGCTCCTCTGCCAGAAGCGCCATGGTCTTCGTATACCATCAGTATATCCTCGAAATTCTCAAAAAGTTTATCCTTGAGATTTGGAGTATTTGGACGTGCCTAAAACATGACATATGAAAATAATTAATATTACGTTCAAATAATATATATGAAATAACATGACATAAACCAACCTCTAAAATATCATTCCACACTTCATTGGGAAAGTAAATTTTTTTTTGCTAGGGTCCCAACCAAAACCAGAGTTATTTTTC